CTTGACCCCAGTCCTCCTGGAAGGCCTCTCCAGGCAAACCGGATCTTAATACCACCTGACAACTGTGGCATTCCCCTGCCGTGCACACAGGGCCACCTGGAGCAGTTTGCTCCCATAGCACCTGTCACCACACTGCAGTGTAATGACCTGTCCCTGTCTTTGTTCTTCTGTGTCCCCAGGAGAAAACTCAGGGCCTGGCACATAGGAGATAGATAGACAGCTGCTGTCAAGTTGACTCTGACTCATGGCGACCTTATGTACAATAGGATGAAACATCACCCGGTCTTGTGTCATCCTCATGATCACTGGCTTGATTGAATCCATCATTGCAGCTATTGTGCCAATCCATCTCACTGAGGGTCTCCCTCGCCTTTTCTAGCCCTCCACTTCATCAAACATGATGTCCTCCTCCAGTGATTGATCCCTGATGCCATGTCTTAAGCAAGCCAGTTGGACAACGTTTTGTTGTGATCCATAAGGTTTTCACTGACTAATTTTTGGAAGCAGATCACCAGGCTTTTCTTTTTAGTCTCTCTTAGTCTGGAAGTTCTGTTGAAACCTGTCCACCATGATAAGCCCGTAAGGTGGCATAGCTACCAGCATCATAGCAACACATAAGCCACCACAGCATGAGAAACTGACAGAGCGGTGGGCACATAGTAGGTACTCTGAAAATACGACTGCTGAGTGAACCTTACAGAAAGGGTCCCAGAGAGAGTCAAGAGAGAGTTTCTGACTGTGGGCAAGTCCCTAGCCCACTCTGAGATTCAGTTCTCTCGTCTGTACAATGGAGATTAGAGCTGGCAAACTACTGGCTCAGAGGCCTTGTACCCACAGAGGTTGTTATGTTATTTATGGCTCATTCAAGTGCTTCATTTTATTTTAAAATTGGTTTCCAACATTTAAAAACTAGGAGATTCCATAAAGCCTGAAATCTTTAGCTTTTACTGAAAAATGTGAAGACCTGGCAGCATTGGGCCCACGCTCCCATATGCGATCAGCTGGACTGAGCTTTAACCGGAGTGTGCATTAGCCATTTGGATACAGCACACCTCCCCTCACTCTCTGTAGCCTTGTCCAGCATGTTTCACTCATTATGCCACCTGCCTGGCCCCTGTAGGTGTCTGAGTTTGCATCCCCTGAACATGATTTCTGAGCTTAGCACAACCTGACTGTTCTCTGGCTCTGTGACGCCCAAGGGCAGTATTACAGGATCCCTGGGTGACAAAAATCATCAACACCCTGTCTTAAACATCTAGTGTTGCTATAACAGAACTACCACAAGTGGATGGTTTTAACAAAGAAAAATTTATTCTCTCAGTCTAGGAGGCTAGAAGTCCAAATTCAGGGCATCAGCTGAGGGGAAGGCTTTCTTTCTCTGTCAGCTCTGGAGGAAGGTCCTTTTCATCAACCTTCCCATGGTCTAGGAGCCTCTCTGTGTAGGAACCTTGGGTCCAAAGGACGTGCTCTGCTCCTGGTGCTGCCTTACTTGGTGGTATGCGGTCCCCCATGTCTCTCTGCTCGCTTCTCTCTTTTACCTCTCAAAAGAGATTGGCTTAAGACGCTATCCAATCTTGTAGATCTCATCAATATAACTGCGGCTAATCCATCTCATTAACATCATAGTGATAGGATTTACAACATCAGATAACAAAATGGTGGACAATCATACAATACTGGGAATCACGGCCTAACCAAATTGACACATATTTTGGGGGGACACAATTCAATCCACGACATATCCTGAACAAGAAGCCACTTGGGCTGAGTGGAGAGCAATGCTGTTGTTCCTGAGGATGATACAGAGTCTATAAATAGCCCTGGAGCTGGGTGAGCGCTGACACCTGCCTGATTTCACCTGGGCAGGGAGCTCTCGAGACCTGGGCATGTTTCAGCTCATGGCTCATCCCAGGGACTGTCCCTCCTCCTGATACCACTGAGGACAGCAGAGGTAGGGAGGACTTCACAGCCGAGTCTGTACGGGAGGTGGAATTTTCTCTGGCTTAGGCAGGAAGTAGCGATAATGTTAGATTTTCCAACCAGGGTGGGAGGAATGATACTGGACTGGGTGAAGGAGGCTGGTCTCCAGTTCAGGATCCAGGGAATGGGGGCATTGCACCATCGTTGGCTCCCCAGTGCTATCCAACAATGTCACACCCAGCCTGGCCCTCTGGGACTCGGCCCCCACCAGTCTTTCAGCTCTAAGTCTATATCCCAGGCTTTCCTCGAAAGAGCCCTGACCACTCCTGGCGCTGGGTTGTCTTTGACCCATTCCTCCTCTGTATGCTTCTCTCAAAGTCTCGGTGTCTCCGCCAGTCAAACACAGTCCTCTGGGCTGACTCGCCTAGCTGGAAACCACCTGCCCCTCCCCTGAGCTCCACGACCCCTGGCTAACCTCTTAGTTTCTATCTTGCTGTGTTGTCTGTCCAAGGCTGTCTCTGCTGCCTTCCCGACCATGTCCCAAACACCCGCTCCTTGACTGCAGTGAGAAGGGTTCAACACGCTATTATCCCCAGTCTTGGGGTCAGACAGACTGTCCCAGCTCCACCACTACTCCCTTGGGTAATCTGCTTACCCGTCTCTTGGGGACTTGTTTCCCCGTCTATAAAATAGAGCTGTCCCAAGGCTGTGGTTGAGAGCAGGTGAGCTAAGGACAGGGAAATGCTTTGAGAACTGAAGTGGTTGAGTGAGTGAAGGCAGCTCTTGGCTGTGACAGGGCATCTCATGGCTCATTGTGGGTGGGATAAACTGAGGCCCCAGGAGCAGGCTTGAAGGACAATCCAAAAAAACTGTTGAATCAGTTCCAACTCATGGCAACCCCATGTGTTTCAGAGTAGAACTGTGCACCTCAGGGTTTTCTTGGCTGTAATCTTTATGGGAGCAGTTCATTAGGCATTTCTTCCTTGGTGCTGCTGGATGGGTTTGAACCGCCAACCTTTTGGTTAGCAGCTGACTGCAAACCACTTGTGCCACCTCTGAGAGACAATAACCTGTTCCCATCGAGTTGATTCCGAGCGCTTAACCACTGTGTCACCAAGGACAATAAAACCCAAAACCTGTTGCTGCCAAGTCTATTCCAGCTCATAGTGACCCTACAGGACAGAGTAGAACCACCCCATGGGGTTTCCAAGGAGTGGCTGGTGGGTTTGAACTGCTGAGCTTTTGGTTAGCAGCCAAGCTCTTAACCACTGCACCACCAGGGCTCCCTATGGCCATGCCAAAAATCACCTTGGCATGACTGAGGGGTCTATGTGAGCTGAGGGCCTGGAACTGGCCGCAGGGAGCCTTGGATTTTTTTAAATTAATGTGAATATCACATAACATAAAATTAACCATTTTAGAGTACACAATTCAGTGGCACTTAGTACAGTCACAATGTTGTCCAACCACCACCTCTATCTAGGTCCAGAACATTTTCATTACCCCAGAAGGAAACCCCATATCCATTAAGCAGTTGCTCCCTCTTCCCACCTGGCAACCAACCACCAATCTGTTTTCGGTCTATCTGGATTTGCTATTCCAGATATTTCATATAAGTGGAATAATAGAGCCTGGGCTTTCAGAAAGCTTTTTTACAAGGCATGTGGTGTGATTCCTCTCCTCCTCTTTCAAATCTACAGTGTGCACTGACGTAGGAGGGGCCTGGGAGATGAACAGAGAGCTCAGACAGACTCAAGACAGGGAAGGGAGCAAGCAGGCACCCCACACAGGTCTGCTATACCTCAGGGCACAATTCTGAGAGAAGGGGGCCACTCCCTAGGCAAAGCAGGGCCTCGTCTTGGGCTGGGTCCTGGGGGACATCTGGCCTCCAGAATGCTAGGGCTTCATCGAGTGCCCAGGCCCCTCTGTGCCAGGAGTACAGAGAAGGGTCTGTGAACTTCTGGAAAAGGAGCCACACTAGGATTCTCAAGAGGCTGGGACACTGTGCTCTGGCCTCATGAGTTTGCCTGGGCTAAACATTTTGCTACCTAATCCCTTCCCATGAGCTGATTCAGGGCTTAGAGCAGGTTAGTCCAGAGCTGGCCCCAGGTCAAGCCCACCTGCCTCCAAGGCTCGGCCCGCGCCGCCTTCTCTGGCCCCTTCAGGCCTCTGAGCACCTGTAGCTGAGACCCTCTGCCCACATGCTCACGGGCACAGCACTTGGAAGCTGACAAATCCCTTTCCCTCGTTCATTTTATCCTTAGAACAAACCTGAAAGAAAGCAGGGGAGTGTTTATCATTACCTTGTACATAAGAGGAAACTGAGGCTCAGAAAGGTCTAAGAAGACTGGCACAGGCCAGCAGTGGGGAGGGTTCTTAGTCCTGACCAGTCTCTTCCCCATTCTGGGCCTCAGTTTCCCACCTGGACAGTAGGGTACTGGCCCAGAGGTCTCTCCAGGTCCATACCAACTGCTGCCTCCCAGGTCCTTGTGGAGTCCACCCTTGCTGTGGTTTCCTCCACTCAGTTCCCTTCTCTTCTGTGTCCTGGCTCTGCTGTCACTTTTCCTTACACTAGCCACTATGTTCTGTTACCTGCAGGCACGGTGCAGTCAGCCAGGGAAGAAGGTCTCGTCTATAAAGAGTCTGGTTTCTGGAACCATCTGGGGACACGCCCAGGCCAGGAAGCAGGACTAGGAGGCCACGGGGGGTGTCTCCTCCTGCCACCTTGCTCTTTAACCCCGCCTCTCATCTCCACTTTTCTCTGACTCTCAGCGCCACCGTCTCTCTTTGCCTCTCTGTCTCCAGGGCCTGGGAGGGAGGGGCGGCAAGGAGGCAGGTTTGCCCGAGCCTACATTTAGGAAGGGCTCAAACGTTGACTTTTGCTATTATATTCAGCTGAATACAAATGCATGCTCGTATTTTGTAGTTAACCACGTTTTAGCATTACTTTTTCATTTTGTCATCTATTGGGATGCTCAAAAAAGGGAACTGGTCTCCTTTTGCGAGGCTCTGTCTGTTCCCCGGGTCAGTCTCTGGCGCTCGTGAGGATGTGTGGAGGGCGCTTCCACGATCCTCCCCAACGAGCCTGCGGCGCTGCCCGCTGGGGCCTGCAGGGGTCGCCCGCGGACCTGACCTTGCGGGGGACGGGACCGGGGCGGGGCCTGGAAGTCGGCCCGACCAATAAACGCGGCGGCGCGCGGCCGCCCCAGACTGGGCCTTCGGGGTTCCGGCGACCTTATCTGCTATCTTCTGTGCTCTCTCGGCACGTCCCTCGACCCGCGCCCGCGATGCTGCCGCTGCGCTGCGGCCCCCGCCTCCTCGGCCCGCTCTCTGCCGTGCGGCCCGCGCCGCTGCGCCTCCCCGCCGCCCGAGCCTGCAGCGGCGGCTCCCGCGACCCGTCCTCTTCCTCCTCCGGGAACCCGCTCGTGTACCTGGACGTGGGCGCCGACGGGCAGCCGCTCGGCCGCGTGGTGCTGGAGGTGAGATCACTGGACCGGAGAGGGCTGGACCCCCGCCAGGCGCTGTGCCGGCTCACTGGGTGACCTTGGGCTTCCCTGGGCCTCAGTTTCGTTTCTAAGGAAGGGCGTCGGATTGGTCTCTTCCGGCCTCCCTCGGAATTTTGGATTAATGGAGGCGGGGGAGGAGGAGCAGGGCACGTGTTAGAGGGGAAAGCTCAAAGTCACATCTCAGACTGCCGGTCCTCAGGGTGGAGGAGGGGTTCCGAGACCCATCTAGGTCCGAGCCCAGACCCGGAGCCTGGAGGTGGGCCCGCGGGGGCTCGGGCCCGGGTGGTTGGGCCCCCTCTACGCTCAGTCGCGGTCCTTGCATAATAACGGCCCCGTCCCCGCTACCGGGCTCCCACGCTGGGCGCCGTGTGAAACCGAAAACCTCGGCAGGCCTCTTTTCCAGCCATCCAGAGGGACAGTCGGGGCAGTGCCCTGGGAGACGGGGACCCAGCCACCCTCCTGGGGGTGACACTCAGAACCTGCCGCCGACTCTTTCTTTGGACCCATTTTAAAACAAAGCAAGAAATAAATGGTGGTTGTTAGTTGCCGTAGTCCGGAAGGTTACAGAGGTGAAGCCGGGGGGTATCCTTCAAGGAAAAAAAAAAAAAGGGGGTGGGGGGAGGTTGTGCAATTAGTGTTGGATGACCTGTTTCCCAGGGAGCCTTTGTATTTCTTCTTAAGTCTCAGTTTCGTCTTCTGGAAAATGGGCAGGAATGGGAAGTAAACGGCTTCCATTTACTTTAATGGTTTGGCTCATGGGTGGCTCTTGAAGCTGGGAGGCAAGAGGCTCCCTAGGAGGAGAGTCCTAACTGCCCATTGCCACTTCCTTCCTTGGGCTGCCGCTCCCAGCCTCAGTTTTCCATCTGTGCACTGAGAAGCTTGGACTAGGCCCTCTCTCCAGGTCCTGAGGCTCTGGACCCGGCTGTGATACCTCCGCCGGTTCTGCCCGTGGAAGTAGCCCAGGAGGGCATTGTCATTGCTTCTGACAAATGAGGAAACCCAGGCTGCAGCCTCCCAGCCTGGAGTTCAGGAAGCAGCTGCCAGAAATGATAGCTGCTGGGACTGCCCACGGAAATGGCCACGGGGGCATTTGCCATGCCTCCTTGCCTCTGTGGGCGTGGGTGGTGGAAGGTTCCTTCTTTCCCTGCCTCCCCACCGACCATCTTGTCTGTCTTCTCTCCCCACAGCTGAAGGCAGATGTCGTGCCAAAGACCGCAGGTAAGATAGGTCCTGGGCCTTCTGAGTCTGGTCTAGACGGAGGAGGAGCAGAGAGAGGCGGGTGGCTGTTGAGAGGAGCCAGGGCATTGGAGACTGGTGACCACAGGGAATTCCACGTGGAGCTTAGCTGCTAGGGTCTCTGGGACAACTGTCTGTCCCTCTCTGGACCCCAGTTTTGGCTCTGCCCACCTGTCGCATAGTAGCTGGGAGCCTCAGTAAGTGGAAGCTACCGTGTAAATTCCCCTGTCCTTTTCCCTGGGTAGTGACAACTTCTCCCTCTTGGTGCCTAGTGGGGGAGGGTGTTGGGTATACACCTCTTTGATGCCCTGCCTCACTGACCTGGTGCTGAAACAGCCAGGAGCAAGTATTCTCACCACCGTGCTTGGGACACTGAGGTCAGAGAAGGCAAGTGACTTGCCCCAGGTCACACAGCAAGTGGGCAGAACAGACGTTGTATGGGCATGGGGTCCTTCCACTCTCCTCTCACCTACTGGTGGGGGTAGCGGTGGTGCTGGCTGGGTCATCCCGGAGTTGGGGCCTGCCCTGTTCACCTGCCTCTTCCTCACCCCCCAGAAAACTTCAGAGCACTGTGTACTGGTGAGAAGGGCTTTGGCTACAAAGGCTCAACCTTCCACAGGGTGATTCCGTCCTTCATGTGCCAGGTAACACGGCCCTCTCTGCCTTAGTGTCCTCTTTTGTAAGTGGGGACAATAACGGCGGCCACCTCATAGGGTTGTTGGGAGGATTCAGTGCGTGAGCTCATGCCTGGTGCATGGGTGGCATCGACTAGGGCAGCTGCGGTCACTCTTGCCGGCTTGTCCTCTCACCCTTAGGGGCTGTGGCTTATCTGGGCCGCCGTGGCCTTTCCCTGCCCCCTAAGTTAAGCAACAGGTCAAGTGGCCAGAGGGCCCTGCCCAGCTGGTTGGGGTGGTTGAGCTGGTGAGGGAGAAGGGTATGTGTATACAAGGAGTGGATCTTAAGGCTTAGAAGGACCAGCATATTCCAGCAGCCCTGGAGGCCTTTGCTTATGTTCCCCTCACCACTTGGCATGGGAGATGGAGGGAGAGGAGGAGGAGGGAGAACACACATGTCTGGACTTGAGCTCTTTCCCGAAAGGTCGGGCCGGGGAAGGGCATTTTTCTCGGTTAAGTGTGCGTGCCTGTTTTTCAGGATTATTGGTATTGCTGCGTTGGCAGTTTTAGGGTAGGTGTTGACAGCAGTGACTTCCCCATGGCTCAGAGACTGAACCCTGTTAGGGTCCCTCTGTTAGGGCAGACCCTTCAAGGTCGGGGTGAGTGGCCTGGGGCCAGTCTAGTCTCCAGGCAGGGGCATGGATGTCATGACCTCTTAGAAGTCCTTTCAGCCCGGAATTCTCTCCCACTTCCTCCATCCTGACCAGGTGACTCTCAGTGTTTCACGGTGAGTGGCCGGGGCTGGGCCTGCTGCCACGCTGGGCTGCCTGGATGTGATGAATGCAGCAAGGAGGGCCTTGGGTGTGGGGCAGGCCTGGCCAAGCCCTCCTCTGCCAGAGACTGCTGGGTGGCACCGGTTGATGTCCTGGCCCAGGCTAGGCTCTTCTCTGAGCAGCAGCAGGCAGGGCAGGGATTCCAAAGCTGGAGGGCTCTGTGTGGCATGAGGTGGTGGCATTGGGAGGCCCAGGCCAGGGTCTTGAGCCATCCCTGTCTGGGGACACCTTACTGGCATCTGTAGACACTTCAGCTGAGCTGGTCAGGTCTCCTCACTCACCTGCGGATCCTGTCTCTGGGAAACAGGGCCTAGGGGGCTGGGCAGCACAGGGCATAGGGGCAGCCCCTGGGCTCTTCTGCCCGTGGCTCCCCACGAAGGCCTGCCAGGGCTATCTGGGCCGTAGGCAAGCCCCCGAGGAAGGAGGCTGGGCACTGGGTGAACTCTGCCCTGAGTCTTTGAGGCCCCAAGAAAGCCCTGGGTCTGGTGAGGGGGAATAGGGGTGGGAGATGCAGGGACAGAGAGGGGACTTGGAATAGGGGACTGCCTCTGGGCCAGCTGCTGCTGCTTCCCACAGATAAGCCTTGGGAATGGGTGCCCCTGGCTACCTCCCTGGTTCCCCTTCCCAGAGTTGTGGGTTGAAAAACCTGGGTCACAAAGAATTGTTTCAGAGTGGTCTTTAGGCCCTTTAAGGATCATCTAAAAACATAAAACCAAAAAACCAAAACCAAACCCGTTGCCATCGAGTAGATTCTGACTCATACGGACCCTATAGGACAGGGTAGAACTGCCCCCCATAGGGTTTCCAAGGAACACCTGGTGGATTCTAACTGCCAGCCTTTTGGTTAGCAGCCGTAGCACTTAACCACCATACCAGGGTTTCCTCTAAAAACTTACTCAGGTATTAAAGTGAGTCATTCAGAAACCATGGTAATTATTGTGGTAGGAAATATTTAAGCTGTGTTTTCTTTTACCTTATTTTACTAGTTCGTATTTCATTGAATTTTTATGGACTCCTTTGCCTGAGGGGCTTCCAGCTGGGTGGGCCTGGGGGTGGGGTGGGAGCTGCCTGGCTCTCTGCCAGCTCTGTGTGGTGGCCACCCAGAAGGTATTCTCTGTTCCGCAGGCAGGCGACTTCACAAACCACAACGGCACCGGTGGGAAGTCCATCTATGGGAGCCGCTTTCCTGATGAGAACTTCACACTGAAGCACGTGGGCCCGGGTGAGTGGGCCTGCTCCCCTCTTGGCTGCGTGCTTTGACCCAGCCTGGAAGCCAGCAGCCCTGCCCCGCCCCGCCCTGCCCCAGCAGGCCCTGGGAGCCTGCAGTCCCAGAATTGCTCACTGTCTGAGGATGGGCTTTCTTTCCATCAGCACTCGTGTCTGCTTGGCTGGCAGCTTTTTTGCCATGTTGAGTTTCCCTAGAACTTTCTTATTTGCAGCTCTCAATTTAAAAAACAAACTTTCCTTTGGGAACTTGGAGGAGAGAGCATTTAAGCAAAACCCCTGTGCTGTTACCTTTAAGCCCCAGGGTCGAAGGTAGAGAAGCCTGGAGGTCAGGGCTGGGGGCCTCTACCTCTGAGGCCTTCTGCTGGGCCCTTTCCTGCCTGGCCCTGGCTGCCCCCCTGTGACCTAGGGGGCAGCAAAGGCAGACAAGCCCTGGGGTCATTAGCCCTGCTTCTCTCTGGGCCCCAGGATCTGTGGTCTTGAACACCCTTGGTACGGTTTTAGTGGTCTGCCGTTTTGAATGACTTCCCAGGTGAGATACCTACTGGGGCATTGTGGCTCACCACTGCTTGTTTTTCCAGGCGTCCTGTCCATGGCGAATGCAGGCCCTAACACCAATGGCTCCCAGTTCTTCATTTGCACGATAAAGACAGACTGGTGAGTTCCTCAACCCTGGCACATGGCCTTCTGGGAATGAGAGGTCACCGTGGAGGAGGGCTTATATGCTTTCAGGGGCAGGCAGTTTGAGGCTTGAACCGTATGCACTGTGGTGGCAGTCCTCACCTGGGCTGTTTGTCTGTGAGAGAGAAGAGACTGGGGATAGAATTTGGGTCTTCCCTGCAACTCTGTCATAATTAGGCTTCCCAGTGTTGCTGTCACCTGGAATTTTCTCTAAGTGTGTTCTGCAGAAAAAGATTCTTCTCCCAGATACATTTAGGAAATGCTGCAGGATATGTTAGGACTCAAGACGGCCTGCAGTAAAAGCCCGTTCGTTTGCTTTCACCTAGTGTTTCCCAGGTTTATCTTTCAGCCCTGGGATGCACCTTGGAAAACACTGCAGTAGATACTTGTATATCGTACCAGCCTTCTCATCGAGCTGCTGTGTTAGCATAGGCTTGCAGATAGCTACCAGCCCCCAAGAGCCCTCTTTCCCACATGCCCATGAATTTTAGGGATGTCTTTTCCCTGGTAAATTTTCCACTAAAGATAAGTTTCCCTGTCAACAGCAGGCTGGAAGCTAAGACTTATTGCCTGTTCCGAGATTTTGGGGAGACTGAGGTTGCTGGGTGGATGCTAGGCTGGTCTCTGCTGGCTCTGCCTGCTCTTTGCTCCTTCAGTAGGGCCCTTAGTAGATCCTGCCATTCTGCCTGTGGCTGCAACCAGTCTTGGCCTCACTGGAGCTAGACTATCGTGCCTTTTAGATTCTTGGAACTCCCTCAGATAGAGAGCTGCTCAGAGCATCTCCTTCATGACTTAAATAATTTCACCGCACTTGTTAGCTTGGCTGTTGCCTCATACTTCATGACTGTTCAAATAGTTTCATGGATATAGACTTCTTATTTCTTCAGAGTAGTTCAGTATCCCATTATCTCCCTGTGCCAAACAAGAATAACCCACTTTTTGTCGATGAGGTGATCAGGTTAAGTGGCCTGGGGCCCGATCACATGGCGTGTGAGTGGCAGACCATTCCTGGGAGCTCTGTATCCTCCGTGGTGTATTTCATGGAGCTCAGCAGGGCCTGAGACCAGAGCTCTGGGTTGTAGGTCCAGCTCTTCAGTGTGGGCTCCTTTCATCATTATTGCTTGGGGTAACTAATTCCATTACCAAGGGGCTGTGATGTTAGTGACATTGCGCTGCCCTCTGCTCAGAGTCCCTGGGTGGTACAGACGGTTAGCATACTTGGCTGCTAACTGAAAGATTGGCGGTTCAAATCCACCCATAGGCACCTTGAAAGAAAGACCTGGTGGTCTACTTCCAAAAAAACCTCAGCCATTGAAAACCCTATGGAGCACAGTTCTACTCAGACACACATGGGGTCTCCATGAGTCGGAGTTGACTCATGGCACTGGTTCCTTCCTGCTCACTTGGCTCATTTCCTCCCAGGCTGGATGGCAAACATGTTGTGTTTGGCCATGTCAAGGAGGGCATGGAGGTTGTGAAGAAAATCGAATCTTTTGGCTCCAAGAGTGGGAAGACGTCCAAGAAGATTGTCATCACAGACTGTGGCCAGCTGAGCTAACCCGTGACCAGACGTGCGAGGGTGGCAGTGGCTGTGCGGATGTGTTGACTCATCCAGGTAATGGCTTTGGGGTCTCAGTGAAGGTGCCCCGGGGCGTTGCCTGCTGCTTGCTGCACCATCACCGTGTGCTCAGGGAAGGCCTCAGGAATACCAGACCTCTGCCGGGACCCCCAGACTGCTTCCCCAGTGCCCACCTTCCTCACAGCCCACTTCCACATGTCCCTGTAGGCATCAGGTCCCCAACCCTCAGCAGGCATTGCCTTTGATTGCCCAGCCCAAGTTAATCTGTACCTTGGACATTGGTGGGAACACTGGCCTAATGTTCAGGAAAGGTTTTTGCCTTTTCCTGGGCTGAGGGGAAAGCCAGTTGCTGCAGAAGGGCTAGAATACCTGTTTAATTTTGTCGTCTGTTTGGAATAATTTAACTAATGAGATTGACTAGACATGAAGCTGTGATACTGCATTATGCTAGGGTGGGACCTGAATTGGTGGCTTGGCTTTTGAAACCAAATTCTGGGCTTTGTGAAGGTCCCCATGGCCGCGGCCTTTCCTCCTGGCCACTGTGAATCCCGTTGGCGATCTGTGCCTAGTCACTGAATTCCTGTTGAAAACGCCTGCACGTGTGCCATGTGCTCTGGGAGAATGTAACTGTGTGTTTACTGGAGCTCTGATTTTAATAAATTAAGTCTACTGACTATGTGAAACATCTCTGGAACACTTATTTGTGTTCACTTTAAATGGGAAAATAAATCCTATTTTCTATAAAAGACTGTCTGGTGTCCATGGTTTTAGGACAAAGTATCTGTAACTTAAGTACATGGAACCAACCTTTTTTGGAGTTACCATGTATGATTTTTATGCGAAAGGTTTTTATGTGAACTTTCTCATTTAATCGCCCCAGCAACTTATGAGGTACCGTTATTGTCATCCCTGCCTTACAGATGAGGAAACTGAGGCTCAGATAAACTGTCACTATCTTACCGTCTACAGCCTGCACTCTATACTGGCTGCATCCTGAATCCCAGCTCCACCTGGATAGCAGAGACCTAGGAAGCTGAATCTGTTCAGTAGCAATAATGTCTATCTTGCCACCTAACAGGCTGGTGAGGATTGTGTGTGATGCATGGTGTGTAGCATGGTGCCTGGCACATCATCTTAAGCACTCTGGAATGACAAGGACGATGACAAAACATTTTCCACGTGTCGAGGTCTTAGGCAAGAGGAGGAATACCTAAATAAGGAGCGGTGATCCATCTATGGTTAGGAGTGGACTTTTCTATCCTTGAATTCTATCCTGAATTGACAGGGAGGGTAGAACTGGGGGTTGGAGGTGATTTAGCACATCCTTAAAGACCTAGGGCCACGTGGGCCGGTGCAGGGAATTGGGTGGTCAGGTGGACAGTTAATGCTTTTGGGCTTAGGTTAGGGTACTTCGTAGAATTATCTCACATTGGGGTTCCCTGAGTTAGGTTATGTGGGTCACAGGTCAGTGTAGTTATTCTGAGGTCATGGTGGCCAGGGGTGGGTCATTTGGAGTCATGAGGTTCCTTGAGTCAGTTTCTGTAGGGTCACAGGTCAGCAGTCATTCTGAGGTCATGGTGGATGGGGCTGCCATAAGAGTTTCCATGAAGGCAGAGTTAATCTGCATAGATAAGGAGCTCAGCTAGCGTAGCAGTATCCAAACAGTTCTCAGGAGCCCTAGGAGTCTTAGGGGTCCCTAGAGGAGAACAAATGGAAGATAAGGGTGATGGGCCTCTGAGTCCCGTCTTCAATCAGAAAAACACTCCATTTTTTCATTGCTCATCCAGGCCATTTTATAGATGGATAAAACTGAGGCAACAAGTGGGGATGTGTTGCTCAAGGTGACCCTGTCAGTTGGTGGAGTAGCTAGAGCCCAGGGCCCCTGCCACCCCAGACGGGTTTCTGTTGGAGGCCTTTGAGAGTGCACAGGCCTCAGGTCATGCGCATTGAGAGCTCATCTGATTTCCTACGTCAGAGCCAAGGCTTTCAGTCCCTCTGGAGTGTCCTCTTCACCTGGGGGACTCCGGGATAGTGGTACCATTGAGAAGTTTGAAGGACAGCCCCTTGAGACATATTGCCGGCCTCGTGGTGACATCTGAGGGGTGGTCAGGGTCACAGAGCTGGTGGGACTCGGGTTTAGTTCACAGAGCATTTCCTTCTTGCTGAGGAGGGACTGTGTGTAGGGGTGTGTGTGTCCGTGTGTGTCTGTCTGCCATCCAGATGAGTCTAGAGGGAGGCACAGAATAAGTATGCAGGAAGTTCCTAAAAACTGAGTTAGCTGAAGGCAGAAGCCATTCCTAGCGGTGCTCAGCCCTCATTCTGCACAAGGGCCTGAGCCTGGTCTGATGGCCTTTCCTGTATGCAGTGGGAGCATAAGTAATATGCAGATAAAATAGGGTTTATTGCCGGCTCATGGTAAGTGCTTAATTAATACTTGATGCATGAGTGAGGCAATGAGTCATAGATACAATCATATGTGACGCCATGTAAATGCAATGCTTTTTAAAATTGGAAGCATTTTATTTTCTGAGACACTATGGTCTTTTCTCAAAATCACTTCATTGAAACATAATTTACATATAATAAAATTCACATATTTGAAGTGTTACAGGTTGATGACTTTTGACAAATGTGTACACTGAGTAACCACCATCCAGTTAAGATATGGAACATTCCTGTTTCTCTAGAAAGTTCCCTCCATGCCCCAGGCAGCCACTGCTATAAATTCTGTAACAAGAGATTAATTTTGCCTGTTCTAGAACTTTGTATAAATGGAATCATACAGGATTTCCTTTCTTTTGTGTTTGGCTTCTCTGACTTAGCAGGTGTGAGAACATGTGAGATTTTAACACACTTCTGGGTTCTGTAGGATTCTGTGCAATGAAAAAGGATTTCTGTAACTGTTGCCCAGGTCTGGTAAGGTTTGAAGCAAAGTTTCTTCTAGGAATCAGGGAGTGCTTGTAAAGCAGGCAGATTTCTGGGGCACACCTGCAATCTTTGAAAACAAATCTCTGAGGGTGGATTCTAGGAATCTGAATTGTAAAGTAAGGCTTCTACTAAAGTTTGAGTGTAGGCCAGAGCCGGTGTTATGGATTGAATTATGTCCCCTCAAAATATGTGTTGTAAATCCTAACCTCTTTGCCTATGGTTCTAATCCTATTTGGAAATGGGTAGTCTTTGTTATGTTAATGAAGTAGGATTAGTTAAGGGTGTATCTTGAGTCAGTCTCATTTGAGATATAAAAGAGACTAAACAAGCAAGCAGAGGAGATGGGGTAAGAGAGATGCCGCACCACATGAAGATCGCCCAGGAGCAGAAGCTCAGAAGAGACAAGGACTTTCCTCCAGAGCTGACGGAGATAGAAAGCCTTCCCTGGAGCTGGCGCCCTGAATTCAGACTTCTAGCCTCCTAAACTGTGAGAGAATATGTTTGTTAAAGCCACCCACTTGTGGTAATTCTGTTACAGCAGCGCTAGATAACTAAGACTGCAGGCAAGATGGAAAGGGGAGGTCATGGCTCACTACTAGAGACGTCTAACACATTTTTGGAGGACTTTCTGGGAACCTGGAGTGAGACCCGTCGCTTCCAGAAGAAGTTCCCCCAGAGCAGTCTGACTGATAGCTCTCAGATGACTGGGGGCAGGGACGGGGAGCAGCCTGTTCACCCCAGCTTTGTGGGGGCTGGTAGGCATTGTGCTATTCTGTAACACTCGTAAAAGTGGCTTGCCACTGCCTCACCCCATGGAAGTGCCTTTGGTGGAGGAGTTCCCAGGGCCCTCTGGAGCCATCCAGAGGAGGGTCTGGTTCATTGGGTGGGCCCAGGATGGAGAGCATTTCTCAGTGAGTGACTTTCGGGGTCCAGAAGTCAGATCTGTGCTCAAGGTCCCATGGAACAAAGTAAGTGTATTAGTTTTGACCCAAAGAGGGTCTGTGGGTGGTCTGTCAGGTGCGGCACAAGGAAGTGAGCCTCACACAGGAAGGCCAGAAAACAAATAGAATTTAGTCCTCACAGGTCCCAGAGAGGAAGCTACAGTACACCCTGACACAGGCCACATGGCGGTTGTACCCGGGGACGAGACAACAAGCTGGAATTGTAGAAGAGGACTTACGTATGGCAAGCAGGGTGGGGTCTTGGGATTAGTGCACACTGAAGTCTTACAGGTCGGTTTAAAGGTTTCTAGGGCCTTAGCTTGGGACAAGGGAGAATTTTTTGTAACAGGAACTATAGGTGTCATGACTGGGAGGGACAAGAAATAACTATACTGCTGACAGACAGAGGTGTAAGATGGTAATGGATTGCTAGCACAGGAAACCATATAGGGCATGGCTAGCAGGGGTCAGGAGTGACCACCATAGTTATGAGACTGGATGGCAAGATTGGAACTTCATGTTAGAATCTAGGTGAAAGGGCACCTAGGAAGAATTAATGGATGCGAAGCCAGCAAGTACCAAAAAAAAAAAAAAGTCGATTCTAACTCATGGCGACCTCATGTGTCAGAGCAGAACTGCACTGCACTCCGCGGGGTTTTTCAAGGCTGTCACCTTTCAGAAGCAGATTGCCAGGTCTTTTTTCTGAAAAGACTTTGGGTGAACCCAAACAGCCAACCTTTTTGTTAGTAGTCAAGTGCTTAACTGTTTGCTCCAGGGACTCTGGAGGCTGCAAATTGGCCTTATGACAGCAGGTAGAGAAAGTCTTGGTTCTGCTCTGCCTCCTAGATCAGTCTAACCTTTAGAGGTTGTAGAGAACTATCATTATATTTTGTCATATTTTTGGACTTTTATCTTACAGATATTTTATCATATCCAGAACTGTAAGATAATAAACTGTGTTATTTTAAGCAGTTACATTTGTGGTGATTTTTTACAACAGTGGTAGGAAAGTAATACATTAGTTATACCTCTAACTTTTCTTGAGCTCATCAGAGAGCTGAACTTGCAAGGCAACCAAGTAACCTGAGTCCCAAAGAGGGACAACCCCCTCCAAGGAGAGACGGGACACAAAAACCATCTCACCTTGGCAGAGCACCGTGGGGTAAGATGAAATCAGGTACAATTGTAATAAACTGTTAAAGGTCAAGAGGGGGCTAGTATGTCAATCTGGAATAGCTGGGGGCCCCAGATGCAAAAGGAGTTCGCACTCATTTGCAAGATGTTTTCACCTCCACTGGCTACTCCCTAAAAAAGGACACGATGTTTGGTAAAGTAAAGGGTCAGCAAAAATAAGGAAACTCTATGAGATGAATTAACACAATAGCTACAACAATGGGCTCAAACACATAAAAAAATCATGAAGATGGCGCAGAACTGGACACATTTCATTCTGTTATACATAAGGTCGCCGTGAGTGAGAGCCAATTTGATGGCCATGAACAATAACAAAAACCACCACTGGGTGCTCAGGAGAAAGATTGGGGCAGGGCAGACGACCCCCAGTGGTGCAGATCTGTAGGATGTGATCTTCAGCTGCTGGAGAAAGGCATGAAGCCTTGCCCACTTTCTCAGATTCTTCTCCACTCTAAAGCAAAATCTTTAATCCACTGGGAGAGAGCTAATACACCCTTCACTTCCAGGAACAAGTAAAAACTCACTGTGGCTTGGTGAAGGTAGAAGAAAAATCCTTATGTCAGTGGGGGACAGGCAAGAAATCACCCAGGACCCAGGATCCTATACTGATGTTATTGTTGTTAGGTGCCGTTGAGTCAGTTCCGACTCATAGCAACCTTATGTACAACAGAATGAAACACTGTCCAATCCTGTGTCATCTTCACAATCATTGCTATGTTTGAGCCCATTGTTGCAGCCACTGTGTCAATCCATCTTGTTGAGGATCCTCCTCTTTTTCACTGACCTTCTACTTTACCGAGAATGATGTCCTTCTCCAGAGACTGGTCCCACCTGATAACATGTCCAAAGTACGTGAGACGAAGTCTCACCATCCTTGCTTCTAAGGAGCATTCTGGCTGAACTTCCTTCAAGACACATTTGTTCCTTCTTCTGGCAGTTTGTGGTATATTCAATATTCTTCGGCAACACAGTAATTCAAATACATCAGTTCTTCTTTGGTCTTTCTTATTCATTATCCAGCTTTTGCATGCATATGAGGCAATTGAAAATACCATGGTTTGGGTCAGGCAAACTTTAGTCCTTATGATGGTTAACTTGGCTGGTAGGATCGGCAGGTAAGATGACAGGCTGCTAGCTTACAGGCTGCAGAGGCTGATGAATCCCAAGATTGGCAGGCAGTATGACAGGCTGCTGGCTCAAGTCCTGAGAACCAGAGGTCAGATGATGAGCCGGATGCAGGATCCACAGCAAGAGAGCAAGCTTTGCTTATATATGTGTGTGTGTGTGTGTGTGTGTGTGTGTATATATGTATGTATATATATATATGTATATATATATGTGTATATATGTATATATACGTATATATGTATATATACGTATATATATGTATATATGTATATATATGTATATATATACGTATATATGTATATATACGTATATATATGTATATATATATGTATATATATATGTATATATATATGTATATATATATATATAGGATGCAGGCCACACCTAAGGAAACTCCTCTTACAACTGATTGGCTGATCACGTCACATCACATTATGGAAGATGACTACATCATTACATAACTGCCAAATTATATCATTACATAACCGTCAAACTACATCATTACATAACTACCAAATCACTGAGACTCTCTCTATATATACTTCTCCCTGGTTTTGCTTCTCTAGAGAACCCAGCCTAAGACAGTCCTCATGGTGACATATTCGCTTTATAACATTTGAAAGAGGTCTTTTGAGCAGATTTGCCCAATGCAATATGTCATTAGATTTCTTGACTGTTGTTTCCATGGACGTTGA